TGGGCTTTGCTTCTGTGAAGATTGACAGCCTGGGAGACCCTGTGGGGCAGTTCCACTCTGTCCTCTAGGGGCGCTGTGGGTCAGAATGGACTCCATGGCAGTGGGTGTGGTTTGGGCTTTGCTTCCGTAAAGACTCCAGCCTTGGAAACCCTGTGGGCAGTTCCACTCTGTTCTCTAGGGGCACTGTGGGTTAGAATCAACTCTACAGCAATTTTTTTTTAAATGGTGTTTTTGCCTGCTCATCTTTGTTTTTTCTCTTCATAGTCTGACTGTATCTCATTAGTCTCAAAAAGATCAGCCACCCACTTAAAAATGAGTTGGTATTTAGTTTACAAAGAGTCTCTTGTTCTAGCCTGCTAACTCAAAATGCAAAGGAGTCCTTATTTCCAAGGCTTGCACATTTTGCTGATCTTTAAAGCTTACAAGGCCTGGGCCACGTCCCCTGGCCGCTCCTTGGCTTGTCCTGCTGCTCTGTGGCTTAACTCTGGCTCGCTCACTTTGGACACGTCCTCAGAAAGCCCACTTGCTGGGAAAGGACACGTTTGGTCAAGCAGAGGACGAGCAACAACGAGGGGACCTCCCAGTGAGATGGGCGGCCCCAGGGGCCCCAGCACTGGGCTCCAGCATAGCAGCGGCCGTGGCTGGGCAGGACCAGGCAGCGCTTCACTCTGTTAGACACAGGGCTCTATGAGCTGGAACCAACTCAAGGGCAACTGCCAACAACACGGCTTCATAAGCTCCTCTCTGGGTTGCCTTTTCCTGGTTTTGTGTCATGCCCTGCGCTGGGTTTGGAGCATACCCACCCAGCTGAGAGCCCACCAAGTTACATGTCAATATGTTGTTGTTGTTATTGTCGGGTGCCACTGAATCAGTTCCAACTCATAGCCCACCATGTTACGTGTCAGTATTTTGTTGGGTGCTGTTAGGTCAATTCCGACTCACCAACCCCACGTCCAACGGAATGAAACATGTCAGTTGGGGCCTTTATTAGTTAGTTTCAGCAGTGCAGGTGTGAGAATCAACTTGCGTTCACGTGAAAGCGATCTACCGTGCCCTGCGCGGTGACTCTGCTCATTTCCACCACGGGCGCCTTTACCTCGACAAAGTAAACGGGTCCAGCGCTCGGTCGCCCTTCTCTTCGGCCTCTGTCATGTCCAGGCTAAAGCTGTCACTGCATTCGAAAGCTGCCGGGAGTTCGTTGATGGAGCTAGAGAGGTCATCTTCGTGCACAGCGGTGTCTTCTTCCTCCTGTACAACTTCTGCCTGGAAGAACAGAAAGAGAAGGTGACTCCCAAATAGTTCACAGTAGACACGGGACAGTCTGTCCACCCAAAGGAAGAATGTTGTATTTGGGGGCCATTGAGTGGGTTCCAACTCATGGCCACCCTAAAGACAGAGCAGCAGTGCCCCAGAGGGCTTCAGAGGCTGTCATCTTTACATGAGCAGGTGACCAAGCCATCTGTAATTCTGTGTCTGGGTGTGCTCAGCACGTAAGGTCTTTCTCCACTACACAGGGTCAGCTGTGTGTGGGCAGGCTGGTTGCGCTGCCCTGGCAGCCAGCACAGTGCTGGGAGTAGAGTGAGCTTTCAGTAAATACGTGATGGCTGAAGAAATGAACACGTGAATGAATGAGTGTGTCGTTGATTCCTGAATTTGTGTTCCCTGTGCTTTGCCACTGATTTCTGTAAAGATTCTTAAAAAGAACTAAACTTGTTGCCAGTGGGTCATTTCCCACCCACAGTGACCCCACAGGGCAGAGGAGAACTGCCCCACAGAGTCCCTGGGCTGTAATCTTTTGCAGGAACCCTGGTGGTGGTGAAGTGCTTGGCTGCTGACCAAAACGTTGGTGGTTCGAAAACCACCAGGCACTTCTCAGAAGAAAAGACCTGGTGATCTGTTCCCATCAAGATTTATAGACTTGCAAACCTATGCGCCATTCTACTCTGTCCTATAGGATCACTGTGAGTCGGAATCAACTTGACAGCAATGCTTTAATCTCTTTTTTTTTTTTAAATACAGTGTTCCCTCTCCTCCCCTCCCACCCCTGGTAAATAGCTTTAATCTTTCTGAGAGCAAATGGCCAGGTCTTTTCTTCTGCAGAGCTGCAGGTGGGTTTGAACCACTCACATTGTGGTTTGCACCCAAGCCCTTACGTGTTGTGCCTGCCACCACATTCCTTGAAAGAAAATGAAGACACTTGAACGCTGAGAGTGACAGATCCCAGGGCCCATGTTGTCTAGCGTCCCTCTCCATCGGGATCTGGATGCGCTAACGCACCAGCCGTCCCCTTCTCTCTAGTCTTTTCCACAGCAGTCCCGGAGGGACTCTCGGTGATTATTGTATTGGACCCCTGCCTCACGGGGTACCAGGTGACAAACTTGGGAAGGGCCAGAGAGCCCCTGGTCAAACCTGTTCATTTTGCAGACACGGGAACGGATGCTCTACGGGGGACAGGGACTTGCCAAGATCAGGCAGATGGATGATTCTGGTTGAAACTGGGTCCGGAATCCCAGTTTCACAGTCAGATTCCTTTCCACTGAACAGCCTCAGCCCGAGGTGCATCCAGGGAAAGTAGCACTCACGGCGGGCACTGAAATCACGCCCTGTCCAGACACCTGACACCCACCTTGCAGGTAACTTTACTACAATAACACTCAATACACTCAACACGCTCAAATACACAAGCCAAGCTAGTTCATCTTGTACTCATTGCAGGATGACATGACGTTACAGTGACAAGTGCCCCCACCTTTCACTGGTGCAAACTGGTCTAGGATGTGCTCAGTCATCGCAACATCTTCCCTTTCTATGCTCAGCAGGGCAATAGCACCCAGTGGCCTGGAGCCATGAGCCTCTCAAAAGCCAGAGTACTGGTGTTTCACATGCTAAGTGCTCTCTCCCAGCCACTCCTCGGAAGGAAGATGGGGCAATCTGCTTCCATAGTGATGCTGCCTCAGAAACCCAAGGAGGGGTCTCTATGAGTCGGGTCCAACTCAATGGCACATAACAACAACAACTGCTCTCTCCCAGTGCACAGTGGAAGGGAGTAGACAGACACTGCTCAGTGGTGCCCTGGCACATAACCATACCTGCAATGCACCTCTGACCTCAGCCCTCTAACATGGGACCCCCTTACCTGTTACCTAGAGACCAGAACTTAGCACCACTGGTGTTTGCTTGTGGTAGTTCAGTTTGTGTGTCAACTTGGCTGGGCCTGGGTGAGTGGCTGGGCAGCTGGATGTAGTATTCCCCATGATGAGACTGGTAATCAACTCCATGGTGGGATCTACCACAACAGAGGAATAGCTGCCTTTGGGATGTGGTCTGCTTCCTGTATATAAGAAGCCTTGAGAATGGTCTCTAGCCTATGGCATGCTTGTATCCTGCATGTAGCCGTGTCATTGCTCAGCTATGCTCTGCCAACCTTGGGACTTACAATGGACTTAAGTGAATGGCCTGCCGTGTGGTTTGGTAACATCAGGATTGTACCTTTTTACTTGTCAACCTTGGGGCTTCTCAGCCTCAGCAGCCAGCAGCTGTCTGAGTGAAGAAAAGCCTCTACCTCTAGTGGGCCGGGAGCAGGGGGCAGAGCTGGACCCCAAGGTTGAGGGGCTTTCACCCAGCCCGTAGAGCCTGGCCCTTTGAACTCGGACTTAAAGCCTCCAAACTGTTAAGAGGATAAACTCCTGTTTGTTCAAGCATCCCACCTGTGGTCTACTCCTATCAGCAGCACTAGGGAACCAGAACAACTGATGCAGCAGACGAGAAAGAAATGCGGCAGCGTGATGACTGACCCAGTGGTGCTCACACAGCCTGCCTCGTGGACGATGTTAGTTACCACCAGGAGGATTGTGACTCATGGCAACCCCGTGTGTACCGAGTAGAACGGGGTTCCCTAGGCAGCAGGTCGCAGTCTTTTCTCCCATGGAGCTGCTGGGGGGTTCCGTTAGGAGCTGAGTGCTGAACCCCTGTGCCACCAGGGCTCTTTTCCACATTGAACGTGCTCTCCCACCCACGGAGATCCCGCCTGACTCTAGGGACTCTGCCCTGAGGACACCGCTGTGCTCAGCCTGCTAGGAAACAGGCCCGAGCAGCCAGAGAGGAAGACTCTGGGCCAGTAGGGGCTGGAAGAAGACAAAACAAGGGAAGGACAGGAACCGGCCAGGCCTGAAGCCAGGGAGGGAGTCGCGAGGGGACCGACTGTTACTGTGAGTGGAAGGCAGGCGATGGAGCCCAGCTCAGAAGCTGCTCGGTGCTTTCCTTAAACACAAAACCAGGGCAAAGAGAAACGTCCGGGAGGCAGAGCGCTGTCTCCACTCACAGCCGGCCCCCCACGTCGGGTTCACAGGTAATTAGCTGGCATCTTGAAGACATCACAAGCAAACAGGATTCCTCGGAATGCTTTGAAGGATCCGGTCTTAGGTACACAGCTCCAGAGGCTGGTCCGTGTGTGTGTCTTCCTGCCTTATGACAGGACCGCGGTGCCAGCCAGGCTGCCCCCGGTCACTCGGGTAGGTTATCTGTATCCACCCCTGTCATCTCTGAGGAGAGGGCTGAGTTTGTACTGAAAAAAACGCCTTGGAGTTTCTCTGCCTGATGTGCCAGACATATTAAAAACGCTGCAGACGCTCAGTTCATGTGACAGGCAGGGACTCTATTCAGAAGGGAGACGCCGCCCTTCCTTGGTATGGCCACCTGACCCAAGTCTGAGTCCACAAACATCTTCCGTTTTGAGGGTAGTGCCTTCGAGAAATCCACACAGCTCAGCGTTCAAAACACAACACCAGAAAACAGGTACATCGAGACGAGGGAGCAGTAAATGCCACCTACTTGATGCCTTCATGCTGACTTTGTGACGTACTGTCCATGACAAGTCAGTTCTTCGTTTTAGGATTCTGGTATTTTAATGACAGACAAATTCTCTTCTTGCCTCCCTCCCGCCTCCTTTTTTTCTTTCTTTTTTTTTTTGGTTAAAAGAGAGGACTTGGGTAACTCTAGGAATCCACTTCACAGGCCCAAGGCAAGAGGACAAATTTTTTTCTTCTTTATCAAGTAAGTTTTTATTTATTTTATCATTTGCAGTGTTCCCTCCCCTCCCCTCCCACTCCTGGGAACCAACAAAGAAAGTTTCCTTCCATATATAAACCCTTCCTTTACTTTTTACAATATGGACTAACACAATATTGTAATTGACTTATTTCACTCAGAATAATGTCCTCCAAGTTCATCCATGTTTCGCAGTGTTCTCCAGATTCTACGCTATTCTTTAGGGTTGCATAGTATTCTGTTGTGTGTATGTACCATAGTTGGGTTATCCATTCTTCTGTTGACGGGCACCTAGGTTGTTTCCATCTTTTGGCTATTGTAAATAGTGCTGCGATGAACATGGGTGTGCGTATGTCTGTTCTTGTCCTGGCTCTCACTTCTTCAGGATATATACCTAGTAATGGGATTGCTGGGTCAAATGGTATTTCTAATTCCAGCTTTTTAAGGAATCGCCACACTGTTTTCCACAATGGTTGTATTATTTGGCAGTCACACTAGCAGTGGATGAGAGTCCCAATTTCTCCACAACCTTGCCAGCATTTCTTATTTTCTGTCTTGCTCAACTTTGCTACTAGTGCTGGGGCAGATGATATCTCATTGTGCTTTTGATTTGCATCTCTCTGATAGCTAATGATTGTGAACATTTCTTCATGTGTCTGTTGGCCGCCTGAATATCCTCTTTGGTAAAGTGTCTAATCATGTCTTCTGCCCATTTTTAATTGGACTGTCTGTCTGTTTGTTGGTGAGGTATTGGAGTTTTCCATAAATTTTAGAGACAAGTCCCTTGTCAGATATGTCATTGCCAAACATTTTTTCCCAATCTGTAGGTTATCTTTTGACTCTTCTGGAGAAGTCTTTGGAAGTACATAAAAATTTTTAGAAGGCCCCACTCATCTGGTTTCTCCTCTGCTGTTTGTGCATTTTGGGTGATGCTTGATAGTCTATTTATGCCATAAATGAGGGCCCCTAGTTTTTCACTGAGAAACTTTATACTTTTAGGTTTCACATTGAAGTCTTTGATCCATCTGGAGTTAGTTTTTGTGTATGGTATGAGGTACGGATCTGGTTTCATTTTTCTGCAAAGGGATACCCAGTTTTGCCAACACCATCTGTTAAAGAGATCATCTCTTCCCGATGTCACGGATTTCAGCCCTTTGTCAAAAATCAGCTGACCATAGATCAATGGATCTATTTCTGGGTTCTCAATTCTGTTTCAC